TATCCACCTGTTTATCTATCTATAGAAGTTTTGAGCAGCCACGACTAAACAAGGGGCAGGTCCTACAGTTTTCATGCCCAAGTAACGACTGTTTGGTGGTCGTTTTCGTTCGGCAGGAGTCGTAGGGTGGGGCGAGACTCAATGTTGCCATTTCTAGCGATTTTCCTGCCAGAATGGCAACACTAGCGATTTTGAGCAGAAGCTGGAATTTTAAAAGCCAACTATAGCGATTAAAAAGTTCTTTTTAGGGGAGCTTGAATCTTTCAAACTCCATTCTAGCTTTGGAAATATCCAAAAAAGGCGAGATGGAAGTTAAGGAAACAGTGAGTTATGAAACTCATAATTAGGAAGTTAAAAGGACGAGATGTTTTCAGAGATAGTTTGCTATATTGATCAAACCCAATGTGGACATGATAATGCCAGTGACGTCATGAATTTAAACGATAAATAAATATCTCTTACCATTTTCTGTCCCTATGAATAACGATAATAATAATAAAACATTCAGAGGCCGACGCAGACACAAAAATTATTTAAAAAATGAATCTCGGACTTTAGAACCATACAAAGAGAACGCATCTTAAAAAAAGGAAAGAAGAAAGAAAGAAAGAAAAAAAAGCTGGTGAAAAAAGATCGCAATAAATCTCCGACTTTAGAACCAGAATAAGTACGACAGAATAAGAACGACACCGCGCATACTGTGTGGGTGTTGGCGTGGAAAGCTCACTCCCGAGAGGCGAGGCGTGCAGTCTCCTCCAGGGGCCATTTCCTCGAGGTGGGCGGCCGCGGCCGGAGGAGGGAAGGTCGGCCAGCAGAAACTGAGGTCATATCTTCAGAAACCGAGGTCATATCTTCAAAAACCGAGGTCATATCTTCAGAAACGGAGAAGCCCAGAGGTCGTTCTCTCTCTGCAAGTACGAATTCTAAACCACCATTTTCTAAACCTCCTTTCAGCGGCTGATGCGTCGCTATATTTCCTCTTCGCTAGATGTGTTTGTCTGTACGAGTTGCCATAGATATATATACTTGTCCACTACCTCTAGCGCTTCGCCTTGTACATGTGTCTGTTCGAATTACACTCTACTGTTGAACATGACCTTAGTCTTTTTTTGTCGACTTTCAGACTTTCTCTATTCGGATCTTATAATAATTGCTGCGTTTCTTTTGCGGATTCACTGGAGCGAACAATATCGTCTGCAAATCTTAGATTGTTTAGGTATTCGTCTCCTGTGTTGATATCCTTTAAATCCCATTCTAGTTTCTTGATTATTTCCTCGAGGCAGGCTGCAAATACTTTTGGTAAGATGGTGTCGCCCTGTCTAACGCCTTTTTTTAATTGGTATTTTATCGGTTTCCGTGTGGAGCTTGATGGTTGCTGTCTCATCTTTGTATATATATATCTTCCAATATTTTACAGTATACCTCCTCTACTCCCTGTCTACGGTTAGCTTCTAATAATGCTGGTATTTGTACAGAGTTAAATGCCTTTTCGTAATCGATGAATGCCATCCAAGGGGTTTCCTATATTCGTTTATTTTTTCTCTTATTTGGGTGTGCGTGTGGATGTGGTCTGTTGTTGAGAATCCACTGCGGAAGCCTGCCTGTTCTCTTTAGGCTGGTTTGAATTCAGACTTTCGGAGATACGACTTTTGTGAACAGTTTTTAAGTAACTGAAAGGAGGCTTATGGGTCGGTAGTTTTTAGATCCTTTCTACCCTTTTTTATGTATGAAAATAATTGTTGCATTTTTCCAGGCTTTCGGAGTTTTTTTTCCGTTGAAAAGGCATTTAGGAAAAAGATTGGCTAGTTTCATTCTTGCAGTTTCTCTTGCATCTATTATAATGTCTATATTAATCCCGTCTTCACCTGGTGTTTTCCCTCTCTTCATGCCTCGAAGTCAGTGGTTCCCAAACTTTTTTACGCCCGTACCCCTAGGAAAATTTTGCTGTGTCCTCGCGCCCCCTTTAAATTTTTAGCTTATTTAAGGATAAAGGAGGTGAATTTACACTAAATTTAATCGACTAAAGAAAACATTCTTTTTCATTTTTTAATATGTTAAGAAAAATCAAACATATGGACAAGAAAACAGATTATTTGAATAAACCCTACAAAAATAATCACTAGCTTAAAATAAATACATGTAAAAACCAAAGAACTAACTTATAAACGTTTATATAAATGAATTTTCAATTCAGTGGCTCTTTTCTTCCTATTTCTCAATTCTGGGTAATAAATAGATTAATTGCTTGTCTTCAAGATGGACACTTCTCGCACCCCTTGGAATGCTATCACAACACTCCCAGGGTGTGATTGGGAAACCTTTAAGTGCTCTTTTTATTTCTTTCGTTGTTGTGTTAAGTGCGTTTCTAGTTACCAATTTTGCTTCTATTTGTGGCTGTTCATTTGAGTTGTATGGGTCCCTGTAAAAGTCTTCCATTACTCTTATGATTTCATTCTTGTTATGTGTCACCTCCGTTTTGTTTCTTTATTGCATACATTTGATATCTCCTTATTTCGAGTCTCCTTTTAGCTGGTACGTGAAATCAGTTTCATTTATTACTTTAGTATTGCATTTCCGTAAATCTTCCGTCTACTTTTTATTCATAGTCTTTGGTAGTTCAACTAATTCTACTTTGTTCCTGTTTGAGGATACTTTCATGACCCTAAGTTTTTGCATAAGCTGTTTAGTAGTGTCCACCGAGAGCTTGCTGGAGCTTTTCTTGTTCTTGCCGCCTCCTACAAGTGCGGCTTCCTTTATTATGTCATTAAACTGTTTGTTAATTTGGTCAATGTTGAGATCTTTGTTATTGTAAAGTGAATATCTGTTTTGGTTGTTAAGAATAAATTTTGTCGCTCTGGTCTCCAAGTTAGCAAAATTTAGCTGCGGTTTTCGTATGATTTGCTCCTTTCCCTTCTGAGGTGTACTTTAATTTCGCCTCCGACCATTCTATGGTAGCTGCCAAAATTTACTTTATTGAAAACCTCCACATTTTTTTTTATCATATCGCGCCTTTTTGAAATTATGAAGTCACTTTCTCTTTTGACGTCAGATGGTGACGTCTATGTCCACTTCCGTTCTAGTCGTTTTTCGAAAAATGTATTCATGATATTAAGCGATCGAGCCTCCGCAAAATTAATTAGCATCTGTCCCTTCTCATTCCTGTGACGATTTCGTGATTCCCAACTACGGTTTCTCCTTCTGTCGTTTTACCCCTTTTGGCCCTAAAATCTCCCATAATTATTGTGAAATGGGCTTTTACTCTCTCGTTGACTAACACACACATCTATCGATCAATCTTTATATATACACATATCTATCTTCCTGTCTACCTATCTATGTATCTATGTATCTATGTCTGTCTAATTATCTGTTCATCTGTCTATATATCTATCTATCTATATGTATATATACATATGTATATATATGTATATGTATATGTTATGTATATCTATATATATACACATATGTACATATATACAACATACATACATGTATATATGTGTCTGTCTATATATATATATTATATATATATATAATATATATATATATATAATATATAATATGTGTGTATGTGTGTGTGTGTGTGTGTGTGTGTGTGTGTGTGTGTGTGTGTGTGTGTGTGTATATGTATATATATATATTAATATATATATATATATATATAATATATAATATTATATATATATATATAATATATATATATGTGTGTGTGTGTGTGTGTGTGGTGTGTGTGTGTGTGTGTGTGTGTATATATATACTTATATATATATAGATATATATAATATAATATATATAATAATTATAATTATATAAATATATATATTTTTATAATATATATATATATTATATATATAATAATATATATAATTATATATATATAAATACATGTATTATGTACACACAACACCACACACACACACACACACACACACACACACACACACAGTATATATATGTATCACGCTCAAAATGCAATTTAAAGGCGCCGCCCAAAAAGCTGATGCATGTATCTACGCGCCTATATTTAAAGGGAATACGAGATCTCAAACCGTGCCCAATCTATCATAGCCTTCCATAGCTCCCTCGACCATCTCCCTAACTCATTCTGTTGTTTAGGGGTGTTTTAAGGTCTGTAAGGAAACTTTTAGGGTGCTTTAAGGGGTCTATAAGGGTAATACAGTATTCAACCATTTCCATTTTCATACTCTGATAAAATCTTCCATAGCTCCGGATCACCTCTGTAACCCTTGCCATTGTTTAGGTGGTGTATTTAAGGGGTCTATAAGGGGTATATAAGGGTATTGAAATTTTCATACCGTAGCCAGTCTAATTTGGTAATTTACTCTGTGATAGGTT